ATACCACACCTAACTTATCAGGGCCTTATGAGGTTCGCCGCTCCAGTCCCGGGGCTTAGCTTACCGGTCTCCATCGCTGAACAGCAGGTTCTGTTGTCTATGGGGCTTTCCCCGTGTGCTGTTTATCACACGAAAGTGTGTAAAGAAACTATGTTCAACTTTCCTTTCTCCTACTGTTTGGATAAACATCCAAATGGGCAGCCAAAAGATAGCAACCAAAACCGGGGCACGAAAGTGCATGGTTGGTGGTTGTGTACTCTGTGTTGACTATTGAGGTTCACCTTCTCCGGCCCTCAAAGTAGGTCCAATCCCTGTCCACTGTACGACGATGGTTATGATTACCACAAACAAACAATGATTCCCAAAGATGTCTCTTTGAAACCTGAGCCCGCACTAACAGTAAACGATTACTACCACTTGCTTTTCCCAGTCAGACGGTTACGCGAAGTGTATCGGTCGCACATCGAAAGACACTTCTGTGCAGTCATCAAATATTCAAACCATGCACTCGGAGTTGTCATTCACGTTGAAAGGCTCAATGCTTCGCAGATGTGAAACGAACAGCTTGTGTTTTATTTACATTCAACCCTACGTTTCACTCGTTAGACGCATTACGGATGAAGTGTCAGTTCGCATACGGAAGACTCGGTAGGCATTTGCCAGCCTGAGACATCTGTGGCGTCGTCTCGACATCCGGCTGTCCGTGAAGTGTCGGGTGCACGCTGCAGCAGTTTGGCAAATTCTATTATATGGAACAGAAACTTGGTCATTAGGGAAACAGGATAAAGATACACTGTCGGTGTTTAAACACTGCCGTCTACGCAGCATTGCACGAATCTGATGGGGAAGCCGGACGAGGTTGGGTGCAGAGCTTTAAGCAACCGCAGTCGCCCACTGGAGCAAGTGGTCGACCTCCACAGATTGCTTTGGTTGGGGCGTGTTATGCGTGTCACCAGATAGGTTGCCGCGGCGAGCGATGTTTGCCGAGACAGGTAGTGGGTGGAAGAAAACCATGGGTGGTCAAGCTAAGACCTGGCACGAGGGTATGAAAACCCTAACCAGGAGACTGGGTCATACAGGTCATATTAGGCTCCCTGGGGGTGATCGTAACTGATGGTTAGAGACACTGAGTGATATGACTGGGTGTCGTAAACGGTGGCGTTTGTGTATCGTCTCAGTTTCTTTGCAACCTTGGTCCACTGCAACTCTCCATTTTCTGTTCGACTCTCCTTTCAGCTTTCCTGTCTTTCTGCTGTTCTTCATCCAAATGAGCGGCCAAAAGACAGCAACCGAAACCGGCACACGAAAGTGCATGGTTAATGGTTGTACAAACTGAAACTGAAAATGGTGGTTACCGAAAATTATTTTAAACAGGTTTTGCTGACTAAAACTCATGTTCTTACATATACAGCAATTAAATACCCTGCGGTACCCTGTTTACAGTTTGAGTTTCACCTTTGAGGATACCGTGTGAAAATGGTAACAGGAAATCCCACTCGACTATGCTCATCTCGTTATCCAGGTTCGAACTCAAATGGTTCGAAATGTCCCTGGCTAGAAATCCTGACTAAAATGAATTACTGTGGTGGAAACGCTCAAACATTTGTTGTGTCCCCAACCCCATTCCCTGCGATAAAACCGTCCCAATAATTTGCAAATCGCATATAATGATTTTGTCAAACGGACAAATACTCTTTTTATCTTTCTATCTTATTCTTGGTGGTATAATCGTTTCTCAATCCTCAACGATTCCTAAATAAGCACTTGCTTGGCACAATATCTGAACTTACGTCAGTGACATATACCTTGACCTCCAGTGCTGTGGTTTTTTGAGTGCAAGTGTTCCTGGGTTCGTTCCCCTCCCCCCATAATCTTTAGTTTATTCTGCCTAGGTCATTACTTCAGCCAATCAGGCATCGTTTTGTCAGTTGAACTATCTCCAAATCAAGCATGCTTGTGTGTGGGTAATAGGACTGCTTTTAATTTCATTCACTTTGTGCGCAATACCTATACAGTCAGAGTCAAGGAAGAGGGGTGGAAGTCAGTTAAAGAGAATTTAGCAAAAGTGGCCAAGTTGTGTGGTGATGCTGGGGGCTGAATAGAAACACATAATAGGCCTAAGATCTATATCCCGCGATCACCATCATCGCGAAATCCTGTTTACAAGCGTACCAAATACACGTATTTTCTCACTTTGTGTGCACTGAGTGCTTGGCAGCGATCAGTAAACTTCACTTCTCTTTATTGCGTCCGAAATCCGCAGTATGATCGGGGGTGGGTGTCTNCCTCGCGAAATGTTCCCATGAGCCAGCCTCTGCTAAGGAAGCCCTGTTCATTGCCTTCTCATGGCCGAGGTGTTTTCTCACCAAAGTGTGAGGACAAAAAGCCGACATCCGGGACTATCACCGGGTTTGTGGACCACTGGTAGTTCGCTAAAATCCCTGATTCCAAACCATTCAACGGGAGGCCTACGAACCACACACACACCGCCCCGGTTGTGGCAATGGTCATCTTCTCAATTGGGCCTCAAGGTGTATTGGGCAACTTGGATGTTTGACTTCGTCCAAAGGGAGTATGATCCAATGAACTGGACACGGGCCCCAAATATATTGCGGTTTTCCCACACTACCCCGCTACCTTGCGAGTCAGGCTTTAGCTAACCCAAGACTCTGTTTGTGGATTCCTCAAGAAAGTTCACCTGCTTTGGCCTGGACAACCTGGTTGTACTCCGCCTACATGCAGATCATGGAACGTTTTTCTTTTTTTTCATAAAGATTATTGTACCATGATTTTTTTGGCACATAGTCTGGCCTCAGACGAGTGTGAAATATAATTTCATGGTAATACTTCTCTGTATCCCTCTGTACGATGACGATGATGATGATGACGTTGATGAAATACACGTGCTATATTTTGGCCGTGGAGGTACACTCGGGGGATGTTTATTCGTTTACGACCGAACACACACCAACCAAATAGTAATCGAGACAACCACACTGACCCCGAATCAGAACAACTCTCCAGTGGATGTGACTTATCTCATTGTTTCGACCCATCGAATGATACACACACACACATCCGTGTTACCGGTCGCATCACTGCATCTGCTACCTTGCCCCCACTCCCCCCGAGTGCTGACTCACGTTGCCCACTGTGCCTGATTTGTTTATCGATCAATGATAATCATGATGATTATTGACAAGACTCGCACCAAGCTAAACTGGATTTATTTGGTTAGCAGATCACGTTGTCATATATTGGACCCTCGTGCCAAAATCTATCTTCGGTCACGGATCAATGGCGCAGTGGAAAACACTTTTTCAAGCACAGTTTAGCTACTTTCACAAGCTGGAAAGTCACATGTGGAACCAACTAGCGGTTATTCAAGACCCCGCGAGTTCATGCACAAACGTCCAGTCTGTTGGAACTAGGGATCAGTCGAATGCTCTTCATCACCTCGAGCAAAATGAAAGA